AAGGGGTCCAGCTCAGGCCCATCCCAGAGGGAGGGAAAGAAGGAGCAGACACTCCACTGGCTGCCCCCTGGGGCTGGGGGTCACCTCCTGATGCTGTGAACAGGGGTAGCCAGGCTGGGTGGCGCCCTAGATAATCACCTAGGGCTACCTAGTAGACAGGCCACTCCTGCGCATAAGTAGCAATCAGAAAAGGATCAGGCCCACTCACAAGTATCGTAAAGAGACAGTGAGTATTGACACATGATTGTACACAGTTCATACAGAATACATGGCACCTTTATCATGCATCATATTCCAGTACAAAAAAGTCTCATCCAAATCAGCTCCATGTGGATTTCCTTATTTATGAGAGTATCCACAATATTTGGTAAATAATAATAATAATAATCTTTCAATTTATTGATCGCTCAATCCTTGCAGAGCTGCCGGCTCTGAGCGATTTACAGTTACTCATGTGTAGACACGGGACTAACAATGATGGGGGTAAGGGAGGACAACATATATCATTTAAATCACACACTTCGTATTGAAATACTTTAAAATTAAGAGTGGTCCCCTTGTAAAAAGTAGTTAACTTTTCAAGCACAGATAAATTGGTCCAGATATTTTATCTTTCAAACAAGTAGTTCCAAGTTAAAATCTTAAACCTTGACCAACTGCAGTCGCCTCTTTCTCGCTCTTTCTTAAGACTGCAGTACTGGTCTTACCATGTCCTCTTTTCTGCCAACCTGGCCAGAATTAATACCGAGAATTCAGAGAAAGTTGTTGTATCTCCAAAGACGCCAGAATACAGACCAAAGAGAGGAGTCTTATGTTTCTGAAAGATCGTCATGCTTTGGAAAGTCTCCCAAAACAGAATACCAGTTATGGGGCAGCCCCAGAGAATCCCTCTCTACACATTCCCATGGAATCTAAACACATGCACTAGCCTTAAGTGTCCCAGCAACACCAGTGTGACATCATAATTTGTGACACTGCATCAGCACAGCCCTCAGTATTCCCATCATAGACATTCATTTATTGAGTTTTATGATTAAGTTTTAGGATTAGGCCATTAATTTATAACATAATGTTAAGCATCGCTAACTCATGAAGGTCACAAACCAACGCCAGGATCTAAACAATCTCACAGCTAACGCTACATGTTCAAGGGGTCTTTGGACTTGTGCTTCTCAAAAAGCACCCCCTCTTTCCACATTAAAAATTCTCTCGACATCATTATGTGTGTGCATGCACACATAGGTGTTAAAAGCATTAGAACTATTAGATATTACAAAGCAAAAGGGGGGGGCAAACCTAAAAAAAGCATTTTGGATACTGACCCAAGAACTGTTTTCTTAGAATTATTACAACAACCAAACATAATAACATTGGTACAAATCTATGCACAAATACTTGGAAATAAGTCTAACAGAACATAGTACAATTTAGCAAATATGCATAGGACTGGGCTGCAAGCAACCTGACTCCATTAAAATAATTAATAATAATTGTAATGTATTAATATGAAACACATTTCTGTCTGGGACTGAGAAGATATCAAAGCAATGCATGGACAGCAAAATAAAATATCTGCAGTCCATTAACTTCTGACAGCTGGATAAATTATGATAGATTACAATGTTTTTTGTTATTGTCTGTTAAATTTAATAGTCCAAAATTCTTTAATATTGTAATCTCATCTGTACCAAAACAGTGCTCATGTACAATGTTTTAGAAACTTGGCTTCCATCCTAATTCTTATTAGCTCAGCCTTGTGGAACGTATTATAAATGACCACAAGATATTCTTAATGAATTTGCCTATTGTTATTTGGCAGGCAACACAGTTCTCCCCGATTATTGGCATTAACATCCGTAGACAAATTTGAGAAAGGTTTGCATTAAAATTGAAAATGAGTGCACGACCAGCAGATTTGGTACCAGTAAACGGGCATTTTAAAAAATGCAGACTTCAGTATCTGCCATGTAACACATAACACTGACATCAAACTAACTTCTAGAACTAGAGATGAAGATGCAAGGAAAGAACAGAAACGTTTTGGTAAAATATTGTTCCCTAAAGCCTAGTATGGCAAATGTTCATTGCACATGCTGGCTCAAATGACACTTCCCACCTGCAAGGCCCTGGGCTGTTTCCGCACAGAGGTGAAGGCAGGAATTCTTTCCCCTGCATAACAGTCCTGATCGAATCTCAGGTTCCCACCAGGAACTAGCAGCTACAGTATAGCTGCAAGTCCTCATGGCAAACTCATCAGTTTGGTCTAATTAAACTCTAAGTTAACACATATCCAATGGTTGGTCTGATATTACAGCTGACCCGAGCCTCTCAAATCTGCAGTTTTTTACAGTAAAAATACAAAATCAGATAAACAGCTCTTTTCATATACAGGAATAAAATGCATGTATTTAAAATGGCAAACAGTGCTTGATTTCACTGTACATATTTAAGTTTTCCCCAAATTCTAAATTTTATTTCTGGGGGGGGGGGGATTCTGCAAAGTTCTGCTTTTCCAGCTATCCCAGGAAGATCCACTAGGTTACCTTCTAACATTTACTGAGTGCCAGTTTTTACTGTCAACAAGAACAGAAGTCTTATCAACAAAAGGTGAGAGAGTTGTCATAATTACTGGGATCTATTTATTTACATCGAGACCATTTTCCGTCCACAGACTTTTACTATTGTTGTTGTTTTAATTAAAATATGTATACCCCACCTTTACCCTTGGCTGTGATTGGCTAGGCTAAGTCAATGCTATCAATGGGGAGGGCAGAAGCATGTCCTGAGATCAGGCTGTTCTGTCATTAAGATTCTCTGTTTGCTTTGAGTAGCTCTGATCCTAGAAAGGGAAAGCTAGTCAGAAGGGCCTAGGGACAGAGCAGAATCAGTTACTTTTTCCCCACCATAGAGAACGGAGGGGATAGGGGCGACCTGTTTGAGGGCCCACAGAATTGGACCCCCTGGTCCAATGCTCTTGAAACTTGGTTGGTATCTTGGGGAGAGGCTCTAGCAGCTACCCTGCGAGTTTGGAGTCTCTCCCTCCAGCCCCCTCCCCTCCAGCCCCCAGAATATACCCTATGTTTTCGCCATTGACTTCAATGGCCCATAGGATACAATGGGGCTGAAATTGACATTCGGGAAAGCCTCCCCTGGTACTGACGAAACTGACATGCGGGAGTCTTACTGCCAGCTGAAATTGATTCTGCCCAATTCGGTGGAATCCGAATGGGCCGAATTTTTTTTTTTTTTTGCACACCCCTAGGGAGGAGAACTGAAACAAAAGGTAAAGGGCATGTGATAAGCAACAGCTGAATGGGTAAGAGAGTATATTTTCAATATTTATATTGTATTAGAGCTAGAAGCCACAACTAGCAACCCAAATGTGGAGATGTTCACATTTGGTCTGCTGGCTGTAGTTTCTTATATCAACACAGAAGAAAAAAGCCAGGGAAACGCTATAGCTTATAAATTTATACTATGTTTATGACATGCAACTGCATAAGAAAGATATCAGCAATTCTCAGATAAGTAACAATTTTAAGTAAATACAAAAAGATAGCCTGAATAACGAAGGTTCCGGATTCTTCTCTTTGTTTCTTGCCTTTAACATAATATAAAAAAGCTGTCCCAGAATTCCATGATAGAAAAATCAACGTCTCCCCACAATGACATAACCAGCATAACATAAGGCAAAATACCCTTTAAAAATGCAGAAAAAACACCCTCATTACCATGCAAAAGCCACATTTTTCCATGATGTTGAACACCAGGCCAATTAAACTATTCAGCAGTTATGCTAAACAAACAAAACAAAATCGATTTTTTTTTAGTGATGTCTAGCTGAACACCAAGTCCTTCCAGATATTTCATCAGAGTGGCTTGGCCAAGTTACTTAACCTTTGCTCCAGAGTCTGATTTTTAAAATAAGATTAAGGCTTTCCTTAAGCCAAGAGCTGCAGAAGAAGTAAATGTGCCCATTCCATAAGATGGACCTATATTGAACTCAAAAAGTTATAGAACAATTAGCATGAATCAGAATCACATGACAAGCAGACTTCTGTTACCCAACTCCAACTGATCTCTTTTTCCAAATGGACAGCAGGATTGTTGTTGCTACAAAAAGCGCTATCACTGCTAACAAGTTAACTAAATATATTTGGATCTGTTGTCGAAGGCTTTCACGGACGGAGTTCATTAGTCGTTGTAGATTTCCCGGGCTGTATGGCCGTGGTCTTGGCATTGTAAGACCTGACGTTTCCCCAGCAGCTGTGACTGGCATCCTCAGAGATATAACACAGAAAGATGCAGTACTCTCTGTGTCAAGGTGAGAAGAAAAATGGTAGGCAGGTAATTTATATCTACTCAGGAAGGTGGGGTAGGGCTGAGTCATTATCTTGTAGGAGTTCCCCAGGCAATTAACATGCTAATGGAGGAGCTTTCCTGAGGGGGTTCTTTTGTATATGGATTGTTTCCTGAGGAGGTTGCATATATGTATTGTATAAACATACGCATACCACATATATTACATCCATCCTCCAAAAAATTCCAGAGAGATTAGAGGAATGGTACACCACCTTTCTTCTCACAGACCTTGAATTGGAAACCTCGGATAGGGTTTGCCAGATTCTGTACAGCTGCCAGAGTTTACCAAGGCAGAGCGTTGATTCAGTGACACATATTTGTTTATATATATATATATCCACTCTGTTAATGTATATTTTATTCTGCCAGTCCATGATAAGAATAAATCATGGATTCATTGATAGCAAAAATTTGCTTTCATGCAAAAAAAACCAACCTAAGGCATGACCTAATCAAAGCTAAAAAATCTTGACACCCCACTGATTTCAGTGACAAGAGATGTGCAGTCCTCTTACTCTGGCTTACTCTAGTATGCATCTCCCTTTGCATTCACCAGGACTGGTTACCCTGCTAAGTATGCCTGGGATTGCATTTTCCATGAACTCTGGACAACACATTCTGCCTTCAACATTGCTTACCTTTTGGCACTGAAATTAACTGAAGTCCAACGCTGGGTGAATCACAAGCAAAACTTGAAGCATGATTTTAAAAAGACAGTTACTTATATTGCCCATCTAGATGGTGTGTAGTTCCATACTCTTCTCTTTCAAGACATTCCAAGCAATAAAATGAGTCCTGGGGGGAAAAAATAGAAAATTATTGAAGAATGTGAAGAAGCAATTCAAGAAAATAAAATGGCTGAGGTGTAAATATAGGGCACTGCAAACAAGGCTAAAAAATCTGAATAATTTCTTTAGGTGTGAAGCATATTATTTTACCTGTAATATAGCTAAATAGTAACAATTGGCTACTTTTGCCAGCATTTGGGCAATTTCATTTTTCTCATGATTTGTTGTTGTTCAGACGCGCAGTTGAGTCCGACTCTTCGCAACCCCATGGACCAGATCACGCCAGGCCTTCCTGTCTTCCGCCGTCCTCTGAAGTTTGCTCAACTTCATGTTCGTTGCATCTATGACACTGTCTAACCATCTCATCCTTTGCCGTCCCCGTCTTCTTTGACCTTCAATCTTTCCCAGCATCAGGGTCTTCTCCAGTGAGTGCTCCCTTCTCATTTGGTGGCCAAAGTATTTGAGCTTCAGTTTCATTATCTGGCCTTCCAGGGAACAGTCAGGGTTGATTTCTTTTAGGATTGACTGATTTGATCTTCTTGCAGTCCAAGGGACTCACGATATTCTGTATATTTTAGAAGCCGATACGACAGCCACTATACGTTAGATCAGGCATCCCCAACCATTGCGGGTACTTTTAGAATTCTGAGAAATGATAGTGGGACCCACCACAAAATACCTGTCATGGGGGTGGTGTTAAATGGCTGCTATGCAGTTGGTCCTGCCTCCATGCTCTGGGAGGTTCCAAGCAAAGTGTCAGCCTATAAAGAGAAAGCTGTTTCTGCATGGGCACTAAAAGGCAGTACCAGCTGGGCTATGTCAAAGTGCCTCCTGCGTTAAGGTGGGTGGAGGAAAGTTGCTTTGTGGAAGAAGAGAGAGTGTCTGGTTAAAGCTTCCAAAGGGGTAGATTAGCTGCCTCAATGGCCAAAGAGAGAAGTCTTGAAGTATAAAGACCTAAGAAAGGCTGTTCATTCGTTCTTTATTACAATCATTTGACCAATCATATACATAATTTTACAATTATAAATTCAAAGTTAAGCGTATACCAAATAAAGTCAATTTAAAATTTAAAATCTAATTACAATATATTTTCCAAGACGTCAATATCACCAAATGAAATCTAGTCGGTAGTCCACCAATACACTTACTAGAACATCAGCACATACAAATTAATAGTGATCAGTTAAGGCCTAAAGGGGCCTCGCTAAACAACTAGCCAGTGACAAAGGCCTGATAGTGATCCTTACTCACCGCAGAAAGAGACCAGAAGCCACAATCAGAGTGGCTTTGCCCATTTCTCACCCTGAGCAGTCCCCTATTCCCTCCCTTGCACTAGTAGAAGAAGAAGGGATTGGATTTATACCCCGTCCTTCACTACCCAAAGGAGTCTCAGAGCGGCTTACAATCTCCTTTCCCTTCCCCTCCCCACAACAGACACCCTGTGAGGTAGGTGGGGCTGAGAGAGCTCTGACAGAAACTGCTCTTTTTCAAGAACAGCTCTTATCAGAACTACGGCTTGCCCAAGGTCATCCAGCCAGGTGCAAGTGGAAGAGTGGGGAATCAAACCCGGTTCTTCCAGATTAGAGTCCACACACTTAACCACTACACCAAACTGGCTTGTGGGCTGCATAAGAGCCCTGGACAGGCCGGTTCTGGCCCCCGGGTCTTATGTCTGACACCCCTGAGCTAGTGAGTTATCATCTCAAAGAGTTTACATTTACATCAAAATGTACTCAGAACATAAGGCAGTTGTTTAACCGATTATACAAATCTAGTAGAAATCGAGTATTGAGTGGAACAGTTAAAAAGCAACAGAGATTTGATCCAGATTTCAAAGGGAATAATCAAACTTGTTTAAGATGTATTCGTTACTCTCTTAACCACCTTGCCATACGCATCCAGTTGGTTAACAGGCAGGCTTTTTCTACATTCAGTGCATACTTATGAGCAAGGCAGGGATTTTAACTGGCAAATGATTCCAAGTACAAAACTAAGGAGTATTCACTATTCCAGTTAACATAAACTACAAAGCTGCAATACTGGGGGGGGGGGGCATCAAACATGAAGTTTCATGAGTAAAAACATACTAGTGCATTAAGCACCCTTCTCCTTTAAAGATATAAACTCCACATTTGAAACAAAAAAAAAAGGTCACTGCTTCCTGTCTGGGCTTGTCCAGTGGATGACTACATTCTGAGAAAAACTTTTGGGTTTCCCCCCCCTACTTTGATATTGATATAATTATGTAATTAGAGTGTTATGAAACAACTATGCTATCTCAACAAAACTACATCTCAGAAAGGACTGTAGCTACAGCTACTGTTTAATCTAAAGATGCACCTAAGATTTTTGTTTTCAGAAGAGTTCAGGATTCAGTTTCTCATAAGAAATGTATTGTCTCAGTGACAAGCTACTGGAGGATTGAACACTGGGAAAATGTACTACCTAGAGAGAAGATATTTGGCACCAGCACAAAAAATGAGTCAGTCTCTCCAGAGAGAATTATGGATGGAAAGGCCCCAAATTTAAGAGCTGTATATCAAAAATATAACCAGCACAGTTTCTGTATTTGTACATTTGCAGAAGCAGAATTCTATTCTAAATGCAAAACAATAACTCACATTCAACTGATCATTTAGTCCCTGAAACTATGGCCATTAGGCAGCCATTTGTTGGCTATCCCACCCAAGCTCGTAGCCAGGGTTTTTTTAAGTCGTGGGGCATTTACATATCTTGGGGGGCACTGGCTAATCAAATTAAAGGAATACCTGGCTCCTTCCCCTCGCCTGCCACCACTCAAGGGCCCTAGGCTAGATGGGAAGTCGTGGGGCCCTGCCAGTAACTCAGGGGGCCTAGCCCCGAGATGCCCCATTGTCGCTACGGGCCCGATCCCACCACTTAAGAGGCCTGCCTGGCATTGACCAGAACTAGGGATGCCAGCTTCCAGGTGGGACCTGGGGATTCCCCAGAATAACAGCACATCTCCAGACTACAGAGATCAGTTCCCCAGGAGAAAATAGATGCTTTGGAGGGTGGAATCTGTTGCACTGTACTCCACTGAGACCCCTGTACCTCCCCAGGCTTCATCCCCAGATCTCCAGGATTTTCCCAACGTGAATCGGGCAACCGTACCCCCCATCCCCCACCGGTGGCCAGGGGGCACCTGGCAACCCTAACCAGAGCCCAGGCTTTTCCAGCACGGCCCTGGCTCTGTGGGATGGGCTCCTGGAAGAGGTGATCCCCCCCCCCCGGGAGATTTTCAGGAAGTGCTGCAAGGCTCGTTTGCCAGGGTTTGTGAGAGGGTTTGAATGGCACACATCTTTTAACAGGGGAGGGAGAAGAGGTTTGGGTTTGCTATTTTATTTTTGGTTTTAACTGAATTATTTTTAAGAATTATTGTAAACCGCCCTCAACCACAAGGAAAGGCAGGATATAAATGTTTTAATTACACACACACATAAAAAATTTGATGCAGATGGATATTCCACTCTCCTTTTAGTGCCATCAATAATCCAATAATCCAACCTATTGCCTGGAAAAGGCAGCCCATCATAACATAATGTGCGCACATGCACACACGCTTTCCTCACCATCCAAGCTCCCGCAAACTCTGAATCTATCATACTTGGCAGAATAATACAGAGCAGCAGGGGGAGGAAGCCCATCTAATCTCTTTGCACAGGTCATGAACCACAGTCCGTGGTAATTAATTTTTAATTACTTTAGTGCTGCCTTGCATTAGCCTCCGCAGATCAGATGAATCACTTGCCTGAATAAGAGCAAGCTAGGGTTACAACACTTCCTGATGAACAGAAACATACTTAGAATGTAAGTGGGTTTGAATCTGAAAGATGAGAGAGCTCAGCAGGGTTAACAGATATGCATTGGCTTCTAACTCACATCCATATCTTCCTTGCAGAATAAAAACCAAGCCATTCGAAGGCTCAAAACTCTTGGTACGTATGCCTGTAAGTGTGCCAAATTAATCACCAAAACCCTAATTTTACTTTGAAAGAGAGAGATTTGGAAATATGCATGCAGTAGTCTGGTACAGGACAACTGTCCTTCATAGAGTTGCCAGCTTCCAGGTGGGGCCTGGAAATCTCCCGCTTTTACAACTGATCTCCAACTGACAGAGAAGAAGAGATTGGATTTATACCCCGCCCTTCACTCAAGAGTCTCAGAGCGGCTTACAAACTCCTTTCCCTCCCCACAACAGACACACCCTGTGAGGTAGGTGGGGCCGAGAGAGCTCTGAGAGAAACTGCTCTTTTTCAAGAACACCTCTGACAGAACTATGGCTTGCCCGAGGTCATCCAGCAGCTGCAAGTGGAGGAGTGGGGAATCAAACCCGGTTCTCCCAGATTGGAGTCCACGCACTTAACCACTGCACCAGCTCTCCTGGAGAAAATGGCTGCTTTGAAGGGTGGACTCCATGGCATTGTACCATTCTGAGGCCCCTCCCCTCCCCAAACCCCACCCTCTCTCAGATCCACCCCCAAAGTCTCCAGGTATTTTCCAACCCAGACCTGGCAACCCTAGTCCTTCATGCGGAAGGAATGGTTTGCAAGCTTTGAGGGGAGGCTTCATCCTATGCAAACAAAAGTCCAAACACTTAAAGCTAATTGTCACTGGATCTGCACTTAGAACTGGAATCATTAAAAGTGTCTTGTGGCACTTTAAAGACTAAGGCAATTTCATCCCAGCCTTTGGGGACTCGGCTTCTTTAGATGAGTCACTCAGGGCATCTAAAATAGCCGTGAGCTCTAATCCACCTAATTTTAGGCTAGAAACATTTTTTTTTGGTTAGTCTTTAAGATGCCAAAAAGGCTGAGTTAGAGAATTACTCAGCGAATGGGCGGAAATTAAATAAATAAACACAGCTCCCGTTATCCATAAGGGCAAGTAGGACAAAGGGGGTTTAAAGTAGGGAGACCGAATCCTCATCCCTTTCAGACTCCACCCCACCGCCCTCTCCGGACCCTGGAGGCATCTTAAAGGCAAATTAAATTTGATTGCAGCATAAACCACGGGTGCAAGCCAGTGTTCCCTCTAAACTGAGTTAGTGTGAGCTAGCTCACAGGTTTTTAGCCTCTGGCTCACACATTTCTGTCTTAGCTCAGGAAGGATGGGCCTCCAGAGCAAACTAATTTATGCAGTAGCCAAATCGCTCGCTCACAACTTTAATGCCAGTAGCTCACCAAGTGGAATTTTTGCTCACAAGACTCCACAGTTTAGAGGGAGCACTGGTGCAAGCTAAGATATGTCACAGCCACTCGGAGTCCGAGGTCCCCAATCTCTGTTGAAAACCTGCCCAAGAGTGCAACTGGGGCCACAGAAGCAACGAGCGAAAGGACACTTTGCGCATGGTCAGGAACTCGTGGTCAGTCCAGCCCCCCCCCAACCCCCTCAAAATTGGCTCAAAGCAAGCCCTGCAGGAGACGCCAACGCCTTCCCTTGTGCCTCAGACAGGAATCCTCGGAAAGACACGAGCGATACCGCCAGCCCCCCCCCCCCCCCCGGCAACCAGGCGGGCGCCGGAGCTGAGGGGGCGGGCAGACGACCCTCGGGGGCTGCCTCCCACCCCGACCCCTTTTCTCACCTCACCGACGGCCCCAGGGGAGGGACCGGGAGGGGAGGAGGAGGGGGGGGCTCCCGTCCCGCCGCGGAAGATCGGAGCAGGGCGGCCAGCGAACGTCCCTCCCCGCCCCCCAACTGCTGCGGAAGCGCCACAACAACAGCCCCCTCCCTCCTCGGGAGGCCGAGCCACGCCCCCTTTCCCCAGCCACGCCCTCCGGGGCGGGGCGAGACCGCCTCAGAGCAACACTGCCACGGTGGTGGCGACTCGACAAAAACTGGGAAGAAAGAACTTTGCCCACAGGCCCCGCCCTCCCAACCTGGGCTGACCAATCACCGCCTCGCTGTGCTGCTTCCTCCTCCCCCCGTCTTCACAGCTGGCGCGGAGGTGACAGAGAATTCCTTGTGATGTCCAATGTGATACGACATAGACGACCAATGTCGTCGTCTGGCGCCGCCGGCCGCCCTTGGGGGCGTGCGCGCGCTCTGTCGCGAGGGGGGGGAGGGAGGGGAGAAACAAACGGCCCATTTACTTCCGCGAGCTCTGAGGAAGAGGCTGTTAGGATGGAATGTGGGGGCAGGCGGAGGGCGTGGTTTTGCAAATGAGGAGGCGGGGCTTTTAGAAGAAGGGGTGTGGCCGGGCGGGCTGGTTTGTTTATATTTTTGTGACAGGATTTTGTCCCTTCTGCGCAGGGTCGCTAGTTAAAATGTGTATTTGAAAAACAAAACCCTGTTTGTTCCAAAGTTTATTGAAGTATACATCATTTTTCAATGCTTACATTTTTTATTCATATTGTACTGGTTAATATGTTTAACTGTTCTTTAGTTCGTTATGGACTTGGCTAATGTTATAAAAATGTGATTGTTATGTTTTCTTAATACTATTGTATTATACCAATAAAATGTTATTGGAAAAAAAATGTTTTGTTTTATCTGGGTATCTGGTCTGCTGTACAACAGTAAGATTGGAGGCCAGTAGGACTTTAGATTGGTTTAGCATAGGAAAAGGAGTACCAAGGATGTATATTGTCGCCTTGCTTATTTAATATATATGCAGAGTACATCATGCGAAATGCTGGCCTGGATGAATCACAAGCGGGAATTAAGATTGCTGGGGAAAAGATCAACAACCTCAGATATGCAGACGATACCACTCTAATGGCAGAAAGTGAAGAGGACCTAAAGAGCCTCTTGCTCAGGGTAAAAGAGGAGAGCGCAAAAGTGGGCTTGAAGCTCAACATCAAAAAAACTAAGATCATGGCATCCGGCCCCATCACTCCTTGGCAAATAGAAGGGGAAGCTGTGGAAGTAGTGACAGACTTCACGTTCCTGGGATCCCAGATCACCACAGACTGTGACTGCAGCCATGAAATTAAAAGACGCCTGCTCCTTGGGAGGAAAGCGATGGCGAACCTAAACAGCATGATAAAAAGTAGAGACATCACCCTGCCAACAAAAGTCCGCATGGTCAAAGCAATGGTATTCCCAGTAGTCATGTATGGCTGCGAGAGTTGGACTATAAGGAAGGCCGAGCGCCGAAGAATAGATTCTTTTGAACTATGGTGCTGGAGAAGACTCTTGAGAGTCCCTTGGACTGCAAGAAGAACAAATCAGTCAATCCTCAAAGAAATCAACCCTGACTGTTCCCTGGAAGGCCAGATAATGAAACTGAAGCTCAAATACTTTGGCCACCCAATGAGAAGGGAGCACTCACTGGAGAAGACCCTGATGCTGGGAAAGATTGAAGGTCAAAGAAGACGGGGATGGCAAAGGATGAGATGGTTAGACAGTGTCATAGTTGCAACGAACATGAAATTGAGCAAACTTCAGAGGATGGCGGAAGACAGGAAGGCCTGGCATGATCTGGTCCATGGGGTCGCAAAGAGTCGGACTCGACTGTGCGACTGAACAACAACAAGGACTTTAGAAACCAACTAGAATTTCAGGGTATAAGCTTTCCATAGTGAAAGATCCCTTTGTCTCTAAGATGCTACTAAACTCCAATCTAAGTGTTTTATCTAATTGTCATGAGGGGCTTCATTCGGGCTGCCACCCTAGGTGGTGTCTGGAAGTCTCCTGGGATTACCAGTGCTCCCTCTAAGCTGTGGTGTCTTGTGAGCAAAAATTCTACTTTGTGAGCTACTGGCATTAAAGCTTTGAGCCAGCGATTTGGCTACTGCATAAATTAGTTTGCTCCAGCCCCGTAGCTAAGACGTTTTTGGGGAGGGGGAGGGGGAGGGGGAGGGGGGACACCAGCCAATTAATTCAAAGTTAATTAAATTAACTTTGATTTAATTGGTGGAATTCCTAAGGTAGCCCCAGCTGCAACTGAGGGGGGAGGAAACTCTAAATGAGTCCCCCAGGGTCCTGGCTAATTCAGATCTGTTTTTTGGATTTTGGACCAATCTCTGTGTCTGTCTTGGGGAGTTCTTGCTGTAATGTCTGGGGCTAACCTTTCCAGGAGGGACGGAATGCCGTAAAGGCTGCAGGGGAGAGGCCAGAGGGAAAGGGTGGGGGGGCGGACTGCAGCGCGGTGACATTCAGGTGCCCCCAAGGCTACACGCCCACCGCCCCCTCCAGGCACTTGGAGTGGAAGCCCGTGTGGCGCTCCATCACCTTTGTGCGTTGCTGGCTTTTGGGAACGCTGCCTGCCGCCGCTGCCACCACTGCGGATCCCCTGGCCTTCTTTCTTCCATCCAGCGGAGAAGGGACAGTTCCACCCTTCTCCTCCAGCTCCGGCGAAGGGGCTGGGGAGCGGGCGGGAGTAAGTAAACTTCCAGTCTTGTCCAGCAGAGTGGCCTGGCTTGCTCCATGGATCAGATGCGATCTCTCTCTTTTTATCATTGCCTAGGCCGGGGGGGGGGGCTCCTGATTAGAAGGGTGTTAGGGTTGGCCATGAAGAAGGGCCTGTAAAAACCACAGGGGTGGGGCTGGGTCCCTTGGGCCCCGTGTTAGCTATGGGGCTGGTTTGCTCTGGAGTCCCATCCTTCCTGAGCTAAGACGAAAATGTGTGAGCTGGAGGCTAAAAAACTGTGAGCTGGCTCACACTCACTCAGCATAGAGGGAACACTGAATGGATCCCCAGGCGACAGAGATTAAGTTCACCTGGAGAAAATGGCCACTTTGGAAGGTGGACTCTGTGGCATTATACCCCATTGGGGTTTGGGGAGGGATTTCGTGGCACATGACATCCTGACCTGCGTATAACCCATAACCTGAGTAAGAGAGGCTATAGAGGGTAATAGGCCCCCTGTGTGAGTAGACAAGGCGCATCACAGTGAGTTGCCCCAATGTATGTCTGACTGAGAGTCCAGTCACAAGCCCTGTGACCCAGCATGTGTTGGTTGGTAACTTGCTGGCAGACAATTATAACCAGCACAAATATATACCCTGCTGCTACTTCTCTCCTCTCCAAACCCCACTAATCAAAGGATTCATATAGCACGCAGAAGACATGCATACAGAAGCCTCCAAATGATCTAAGGTGGGAGAAAAAGAAGAAGAGGAGATTGGATTTATACCCTGCCCTTCACTAGTCAAAGGAGTCTCAGAATGGTTTAAAATCCCTTTCCCTCCCCACAACAGACACCCTGTGAGGTAGGTGGGGCTGAGTGAGCTCTGAGAACTGCCCTTGAGAGAACAGCTCTGAAAAAAACCTTTATGACTGATCCAAGGTCACGCTAGTAGCTGCATGTGGGTTAGGGTTAGAGGAGTGGGGGATCAAATCCGGTTCCCCCAGATTAGAATCCCTGCTCCTAACCACTACACCCATCAGGAGAAAGTGATATGAGTTGGGGAACTTAAATTTAAAATTTGAATTTCGGTGGGAGGAAGTGACCTGATGGGAAGGGAAGGAGTTGGAGGAGTTGACCTTTGAGGTGGCGTGACATTGCTATATTATATAGCCCCATCGACATCCCTCCTCTCCCTAGACTCTGTGCTCCCCAGGCACCATCTGCAAATATCCAGGAAATTCCCAAGCCAGAGTTTGCTTCACAAAAATCAGTTTTCTGTAGGACTGCCAACTCCAGGTTAGCAATTCCTGAAGATCTGGAGATGGAGCCTGGGGTTTGGAGAGGGGAGAAGTAGCAGCCGGGTATAATGCCATAGAGCAGGGGTGTTGAACTCATTTGTTATGAGGGCTGGATCTGACATAAATGAGACCTTGTTGGGCCGGGCCATGTGTGTCATAAAATGTCATGCCAGGTAGTGGAGATATAAACTTTATAAAGGACACAAACACAAAGGGTTTTTTTTAACTTAAAAACATGCTTAAAACATTAGCACTCTTGCAATATCTTGTTTATCTAACTGTCTGATAACTGACACCTCTTGCTCTGAATTATTGCATCAAAATGTCTCTGCTGTTGCAGTCTTGAGTATGCTGTTCAGGTGTGTATCCGTAAGCTGCAAACCTATGATGACGCAGCAGCAGCAGCAGAACTGGAAGAAGAAGAAGAAGACAGCTCGTTCCACTGCGGGCCTGAGAGATGTCTTCCTGGGGCCTGATCCGGCCCCCGGGCTGCATGTTTGACACCCCTGCTATAACGTCCACCCAACAAAGCAGCCATTTTCTCCGAGGGAACTGATCTCTGTTTGGAGATGTTGTGATTCCAGGAGAGCTCCAGGCCCCATCTGGAGGTTCATGGAAAGAGGCTAAATGCAAGGAAAAAACCTGTGAACAAATTACAAGAAATATATTATAAATATTCAATACTTATTCAAGATACTAATATCCTGATGCACTCTATTCATACAACAGCTCCAAAGTCTCGTACATAAATGTTCAGTCCATTATCATTTCCGTTCTCATCCAATATATTTAAAGAAATAAAGTGCCTGCGTCAAGAAACATCAATTTGTTGTTTTCAAAACATTGCAGTTAAGTCTTTCAAAACAGTTCATTGTTTTCAGAACATAGCAGATTAGTCTTTAAAACAATACAATACAAGGACACTTTCTACAGTCTCCAGGCACGGATTTTGAAATTGTATTGTTTTGAAATAATTTTCTGCTATGTTCTGAAAACAACGAACTGTTTTGAAAGACGTAACTGTTATTTTTGGAAAACAACAAATTGACAGAGTTTTTCGACGCAGGTGCTTTACTCCTTTAAATATATTGGATGAGAATAGAAATTATTATG